CTGGTTTTCAGTCATTTCCAACAAAAAAAGTTATAAACAAAAACATACGTTTTTTGTTCCAAGATGGCGGCGTTTGTTTACATTTTGTAGGATACGACACAGTTTTGATTCCCAGCCCTGTAAATCTAAACTTCTTAAGAAAAGGCAAACATGAATATTATAATGTTTAAATAGTGATTTTAGAGAAATGTTAAAGGTTTGTTACCTGAAAAAAGAAGCGATAAATGTGAAATAAGTTGACATAAAAGTAGAAAAATATGAACAAAGTAGCATTTGGCTTCCATTCTTTATTCACTGTAACTGTACCTATTACCAAAAAGCAACAGTTGAAATAATGGTTCCGCTTATTTGCCAAAGGGGGACTATTTGAATACTATTAAAGTGCACCAAATACAAAAGCTTTTAAGAAGGGGAAAAAGCATTTCTGGGGCATAATGGGTATAATGGCATAACTTCAAACCACTTGCCCCTCACCGCTGTGGGTTCGAATCCCGACAGGGACTTTGGATTCTTTCATGTATGGAAGCTATCCAGCTAGCTTACGGAACGTCGGTTGTTCTACTCGGGTGCCCGTTCGTGCCTGAAATAATGCAAGGAAGGGCACCTGAGGTCTTTCTCCATCAGTAAAGCTGGAACGTCGCAATATGACATATACTGCGTCGATGTGACGTAAAACCCAAAACAAACAAACAGAAAAGAAAATGAAAAGAAAACTGTTACATATTTACATAAACAAGTATACCTGATGACGACTTTTAAAGAAAAAAAACTTTGTAATAAAACAGTATTTTTTAAATTTAAACAGGAGTTGATTTTTGTAATCAAACATATATATACAAATTTCATACAAAAGAAAAGTCTGTGTGGGTTTTAATAAAGAAAGTAAGTAGTAAAACATTCTGTGTTTCTAAGACTTATTGTCTCTATTTTGACAATGAAAATTGTCCACAAGCATATTGGTTTTTTTTTCAAACACGGCGATCCAGCTCTATTAAGAGCATAGTTATCGTAATGTATGTTATAATTTAATTTTGCGGTAAGATAAAATTTATCCAAAAAAATGTGCATCTAAAAAATAACAGAAAAGAGAGTATATAATAAAAGTATAAAATATGTCAATTTTGCATAAAGTTAAAAAAAAGGTGCTAAGATTATTTATTTATTTATTTATTTATTTATTTATTTATTTATTTATTTATTTATTTATTTATTTATTTATTTATTCATTTATTTATTTATTTAATTATTTATTTATTTATTTATTTATCTATTTATTTATTTCTAAATAAACTCTAATGCATTACTCATTTTTATGTCTTCTTTAAGATTTAATTAATTCTTTCGAAACTAAAATGCTTTTTTACAATAATCAGCTAATATATTCAAAACATTTATATTTGTAGAGTGAAACAATTCAGTTAATCAGTATTTGTTTATTCGTCAAATTCAAATAATTCAGTAATGGAACTGAACTACACAAATATATTATTTCATTTTGTTTATCACATACATTAAATAAAAATTATTTACAATAAAACATATTTTATTGACGCGATCATTTTTTGCAAATGACATCACTTTATATTATATATTACAAACGTGCAATAACATTTTTACTAAATCGGAAAAAACAGACTAGACTAGATCTATATATGATAAAATTCAATATCAAATGTGAAATCTTACATGTGAACACCGTACATGTGTTACATATTGAATATCACTTAGTACATTTACAACATATAAATTATACTTTTGTCTATAAGAACGTTTACATTCAATTGTTTAAATAATTTATATTTAAGAAATAATATATCCCAAACAGTGATTTTATCGCTCAATAACATCACTGTTTGGAGTTCGGATGCGAGGAATTATATCACGAGGGCGTAGCCCGAGTGATATAATGATGCGCATCCGAACGACAAACAGTGATGTTATCAAGCGATAAAATCACCGATTTGGATATATTATTTCGATTCTAACACGACATCAACAAATAAATGCTGCCGTACTTGATATTAAGCAAAGTTGCGCCTGATTTGTTTCCGTACTTATTTTCAGCGCGTTGGATTTTAGGTGGTTACGTCAGGGGTATAATGATGACGTCACATGTCTAAATATAGAACGTCAAACTGTGACTCTGTTGCATAATAACACACACTTTCGGTTCCTCTATGTTCAATAGGGGAAAATGCGGGTCGTGTTAGAATTAAAGTTTTTATACGACTTACCTGAGAAAATGCTGCAAAAACAATAAATATTGCTAAATATTCCATGATTTGAAAAACAAAACAGCATAACAAGTAGCACTTTTCAGGTTAATGATGATTGAAATATTTGAATAGTTTAAATAACAAAATAAAAATATTCCTTTATAAATAGTGATTATCAATAAATTAGTAACGTTCAATTGTCATCTTTTATCTTTACAATAATTGAGTATTGTTTCAAACGTTGTTATTGTCAAATATTGAACTACTTCGTTTAAGTAATACCACTTGATAAACGGTAATAATCCAAATCTTACTGCGCCTTTATTATCCATTACTCTCTATTTTAATGTACAAACAAACAAGAGTTTTTTGCCTTTCATAAGTATAACAACCAAAAAAGAAATACAACCATTTTATTGTTTCTATTTTGTTGTTTGGTTTGTTTGTTGTTGTTTTTTTTTTTTTTTTTTTTTTTTTTTTTTTTTTTTTTTTTTTTGTTGTTTTTTTTTCATTTATTCATATTTTTTATTTATTTATTTATTTATTTTTGGCGGGGGGATTCTTTATTTGCGGAGGTGGGGTTTGAGGGAGGGGTATAATTGTTTTTGTGTACCCTTGAAACAGATACTTGGTTGTTGTAAAGCTGGTTTAACCATTGTTCGAAAACTTGTATTCTAGTCAAGATGAAAACGAAAATTGACTCCGTAGCGAATTTAAAATCTTCCATTTATTTTAGATTCAATAGTACAGAAACACTGTATCATGTATTGCGAATCTTTTAAAATTCAGTGTGTATGGCTAACTTTGAAAAGGTAATGAAACCACTTTTACAATTTTCAGAATCTTTCAATTCAGTTTTATAGAATATGCTATCAGATCATATAAGACACTAACGTTTATTTCAAATGCTCTTAATCTGCTTAAAGCTGTATATTATTGAAATTATATGGAAGAGACTTCAATTATCAAACGTAAAAGGTGATGAAATAATATACTAGTAACTAATAAAGACATTATCAGTATGTTATCAGTAAACAAGGAGATAACAAATAGCTGTCTTCATTTCTTTGTTTGTTTAAACAATCACAGGTATCGTGTTATTCAAACAATGTCACACTCAACGCTAGATAAATGAGGAAGAAGAAGAAGAAAGAAGAAGAAAGAAGAAGAAGAAATTTATGGTGATGATGATGATGACGATGATGATGATGATGATGATGATGATCGGTTGTATCACTGGTTTTTGTGTAAAACTATCGGCTATAAACACGTGTTTAACCGACTTTAATTTCACATTCTAATTCTCATCTTATCTAATTATGTATTCCAGCAATAAATCATTAATAGAATGCTACTTATTTTTCAAAAAAAGTTTAACAAAAAGAAACCAATTTACGTCAGAAAAGTTATTGCAGGAAAATCAAGATAGGAAACATTAGAGACCAGCTCTTTTCGAAACAACTTATTGACAGGAACTTTTTTAAAGAGCTAATCAGAATGCTTTCATGCCTATATTGGCGAAAATGGAGCCAAATAGGTCGCCAAAGCCGGCAAGATTTAAGAGATTTCATTATCTTTTTAAGCGTGTTAACAACACTTTAAAAATAAAATAGATAATAAGAATTTAGTGACAACAACATATGTGTTCAAACCATGTTATATTATTATTATTATTATTGTTATTATATTCGGAATTTTAGAAAAGCATAACATCTTTTAATTGTGTGTAAATTAAATGTTCATTTGATAGGCAGCAAACATAAGAAGCTGCTTTAAGAATATGAAAAAAGAAAGATAAGATCACTCAATACTACAATTGCTGATTCCAAATGGTGTATAACTTTCCATTGTTGACCTTAAACTATTTTTGTTATGCTTGCAGAAATGTTTCTATGCTGAAATATTTTATTAGTTATTTCGAAACATTAGCAAAAACCAAAAGCAGTGACTCTATGTCACCGTAAACAAATATCACGTGATCACCCACACTGGCTTCCTTTTTAAACAACATTAATTATTGCAGAAATTTTCTATGTGATAAAAAAGAGATGAATCTAATTAAAATCCTTGCATTGGAAAAAAAAACAGAAATGATCATAAAATTGCCAAAAAGAAAGTAAGGCATCTGATGATTACAATTACATGGTGTGCATTTGTTTTCCATTTAATAGCTTAGCTCTGGTTTTGTTTATTTGAACCTTGTGTATTAACATCAATAAAAACGAAAGCTTGAGATTCACTCTAAAACTTTTGCTCCATCCTCACATTTTTACGTCAAATGTAATACATTGCTTTTTATATTCATTTTTAAAGCAGTGAGAGAACAAGAACTTTTTTAGCTCTTTGTTATCTTGACTCTAGTTTCAGACGGAAAATGGCGAAATTAGCCGATATTGTCGACATTTGATAAACGTATATGACCTTTTATTGATAAAAGAATCTCAGCCGCTCCTCTCATTTTGCACTTCAATTGTATAAAATTATCATTCATCCGACCGAAATAGATGATAGAATGTACACAATTCTGTAAAGATATCATATACTTCTGTACAAAAGAAAAGAGATGTTTTACTAGACCAATACATTTAAGCATCCATTTTTCAACTGCATTAAGATTATTATTTGTTACAAAAAGTTTGATTATCAAACGTGGTTAAGAGATCACATGAATTATATATATATATATATATATTACTTATTGTAAGTTTTCATAATGTACCACCTCTTCTTTCAGTGCGTTCGGTCACTAAGTTGTTTAGTGTATTTTAAATTTAGATGTTGCAGTGCATATGATGTGCAAATGTAGAAATACATTTGTAAATATTTATCCGAATAAGATTATTTTAAGGTTAATTTATGTAACATTTACCTAAATATGGCTGCGTTAAAAAGTTTTGTTGTGTGCTTTCTGGTATGTACATATATTAGCGTTTTTTCTGTTTTCTTGTTTCAAAAATATTTCATTTTATAGGCCTTATGTGTTTTTTTGTATGCAACTTATGTTGGCTATGAACTACAATATCAGTATTTTATTGTTTCATGTTTTCATTTATTTCCTTTTTTTAGATCGTCGTTTGTCTATTAATTATCTAAATTTTGAATGAGAGAAATACAAATACAAAATAAAAGATGAAATATTCATTTTCATTTGCCATGTCTTTTTTACCTTTTTGTGAAATGTTATTGTTATTTCCAAAAGGTCCAAAAGGCCTTCTGAAAGAGATGAATCATAAAATAGTGATGAAGTTCTTTTTTGTTTAAGATGCTGCCACTATCAGTCGCATGTGCAAACCAAACATCCTACCATACTATGCTCTATGTGAAAATACTGAATTATTCAAATACCGGTACACTACAGTTATCTGGGGGTAACATGCCTGTATCTACATCAGGATCTGGTGGTAACATGCCTGTATCTACATCAGGATCTGACTCGTGCTGTTATATGAGGCCGTTACAAAACTGTACCAATTTTTGTAAAACTGTCTTCTCTATTTGTATTGAGAGGTAAGTTGTTGATTGTTTATCTTTTCATAATATGAATTATTTTCAAAGATGTACAATGTAAAAAATCTATTACCTTTTCCAGCTCGTCATGATGTCATCGGAAAACCAATCCGGACTGCTATGAATTCGAATAAAAACAATTTTAAGTTGTTCTATATTTTGTTGGATAGTGTAACCAATACAGAAACGACAAACAAGCAAAATTAGAAAGCACCATTGCTCAGGACCATGCTTCAAATGATAGTTACTTTCAAATTAAACTTCTACTTTTCCCATTTTTTTAAATGTTTAGCTCTCTAATTCAATAGAACCTTCTAAGCTCAAAAACCACACAAGAAAAAAAAGCTTTTGCTTACTCAAATAAGCAGTCAGTCAATAAAAGTGATTTGAATAATGCTTACATATAACTGAACTTTATTTACATCCTGAAACTACATGACCTAAACTTGAATGAAGGATTGTGAAGGTTTCAGATCTAGTGGTAAAATCCTAATGAATAAGTTAATTCAGGATTAGAATATTGAAAACTGTCATAAAATCTTGCGATATACTAAGCATTTCAATATCTTTTTGATTATTCAATACCTCCAAGCACTTATTTAACCCATTACTCGATATACACGCCTTTTAACGCCTTGACTCCTTTCCCCCCAATTTGTTGTCCCAAGTGGTGGAAAAATGCCTTATTTAGGCCCCCAACACTTGTTTTTGTTTGAGAAATGTTGTTTGAAAAAGTGACCACTGTTTCGGCGCCGCCCCTATCCAAAAGATACACAAGCAGGTTGCCAGAAGGGGATGTGCCCCCTTCTGTTTTGGGGGTTTGAAGGGGGTGGCAGTCCCCAAGAAATATTTGGACTTGTGAGAGGCTAAAATGACCCCAGGTCGATCATAAGGTAACGTGTAACCAACGCCGAAAAGTCTTTTGACATTTTCTCAATCCATTGAGAAGTTGCAACACTATGAAATCAAATTTGATGGAAAAAATCAGCGCAAAATAGTGATTTTTGGCAATTTTGAGATGATCCCTCGTTGCCATTGAAACAGGAAATTTAAGACTGAACATGTTGTTACAAAGGCATTGGTCCAGTCAAAATTTGAGCCAAGTTTGATTAGTATTTAAGCAGTTTTTATAGTTTCATAGCAATTTGAACTTGTGACGGGATACTTTTCAATGAAAACAGCCATTTGTCACAAAATGCTCATGCAATTATAGGATGATATTCAGTTTTTCGTCATTTGTCAAACTTGATAACTAAATTCCATTGTTCACGTGATTAAAAGCAAGATCTTCTTGAAATTGGGGACCAGTGGTATTTCATATTATGAAGAGTGTAGTTATATTTGAACCAGAGATTCCATCAAGAAACATGAAAAAATAACCATTTCAGGTTAGGTTTAATCATTTTACTGTTTAGAAGGGAAAATATACTGTGAAGACATCTCCAACACCCCTCTCCGACACCGCCTGAAACAGTATTAATTTTCTTTGGATTCAATGAAATGAAAAAACATTGTTATTGTTATACTATTTTCAGTAAATGCGACACATACCTATTCAATATAACCTATAACTACGACACTGGTAGAATTTACGACGAGAATTATGGCGTCGAGCGTCTCAATGTTCAAAGCATCAAGGTAAATACATGTTTTGCATAATTTTGATTTAATTATGTGCTCAATATTGTCAACATCAGATAAAGAAACAATATAATTTATGACAAACGTTTTGTATATTGAGATAGAAGGAAAATATACCGCTAAAAGGATATAGGTTTTCAAAGTATGCTGTCATTTTTGTAATGCCCAAACATTTTTTTTTGAACTCAAAACAAAAATCCTAGTTTGAGGGGTAAAAAGAGACAGTTTTAAAAGTCATCAAATAACCGTATTTTTTGTTATGTTTTCATCTTAAGAAAGCATTCACTATTTCTGTATGTGCATGTGTAGCCATGATTTTTTTCAGGACTACTTTGAGTACAAATATAACCCCTTGATATCATCTTAACAAGATGGTAATGTAATTCAAATATGATAAACAAGATCAACAAGGAAAGGCGGCTTTCAATGAACGCAACCCCCATACGACCCAGCAACAAGAACCAGTGGCAAGGAGCCCAGGCGGACCTTAAAGCTTGTTTAATGAAAATAAGCTCTTAAAATAACGTGTATGGACTGTTCATGTCAAAATAACTTGAGCTGTTAATATGAACTCTTTTTCTTTTCAAACATATTATAGCTAGCCTAAAAGATATTCTTTAAGTTATATGATTTTTCTATTTTCTTTTTTCAGGATCAGACAATTAATATTGACGTAACTGAAATAAAAACAAATATACGGACTGGTTCTAGCATTGTGTCTAAAATTGATAGCTTTGCCGCAAAGTACAGTCGACCACCGTCTGGTTCCTTCTGGCTAAGCAGAATGTATCCTTTGAGACTTCAAAACAACGTATCGTCGTCAGTATATCTTTTCACTTAGTGTTTGATAGAAAATACACTCGAAATATATTAAATGAGATCAATTCTACCATTGATATATTTTGAGTACAACCAAATTATTAGCATTATCTGTAAATTTCTCATTTTATGTATATGTATTTAATTTTCAATCCGATGATAGTTAAGCTGACAATGCAATTATACTTTCAAATAATGGTCAATGATTTACTTTAAAAGGCACATTATGCCTCAGAAATCGATATATATATATATATCTTCATTCTTTAGAAATATCAAACATGTGTTTAACAATGTTTTAATCATGAATTTAAAGTAAATTAGATGTTTAACAAGCTGAATGTGAAGTAATGTGTCGCAAAGGTAGCAACACTTAAACAGAGTAGTATTTTGCCTTCCACGCAAAATGCACAGCCACTGTAGTTATACCCATTGCCAGCAGAAGGAGAAGATACATCTATGTGGTAACTGTAACATTTAAATTGTAACTTAAAACTGGAACAAGATACTAAAATCAAAAGTTTTTGAGAAATAAAAATGATATCATTTCTGAGGCATAATGGGCCTGTAAGTAAGCAAGCTCCGATAACCTGTCTTGGATATCATTCTTATCAATACTCATTTAATACGTAAACATACCATTCGTTGAAAAGAAGGAAACAATTCACTGACAACATTCATGCTAAGAAGATGTAATAACTTTATTTGTTTGAAATTCGGTATTATTGAACATATTCTTATGTAAATATTACAGGATAGATCTACAAATAACAGCGTTTTGTGAATCAAACTGGTACGATCCTCGACAAAATTGTGCTGAAAATATACAGTCAAATAATCTTCAAAGTGTTCATTACAACTTCGGAAATAGAACGTTTGATGCAGAACTCGATTGTGCGACTGAAGGTAGGAAAAAATCATAGTATTTCACATTGTCAAGACCCTGAATCTACATGTTCATGATCTAGCCTTAAAGGTAAAAATAGTTTTAGAAATGATATCAGACATACTTATGAAAATGTATATTGAATGTGAAAGTTATATGAGCGGTAGAATTCCTGAATGAACCATACTGGTTTCCTAGCAGATTCCGTCCCCTAGCAGTTTTCCGACCGTTAATCATTTTCGTCCAGTACAGTCTATTTCTACCAGTAAGGCATCTACATTACTTCATCAATCACAGAGACATTTGTTTTCTATGCCAAACAGCATTTAAAATAGTACAACGATTTACATGTTTTGAAGTTTTGCCTGTTATCTAAAGTTACATAAGAGAACTTGCGACTTTCAAAAATAAGCATCACCTGGGGAATTCTAGTTTGAATATCCATGCACAATAACTAAGACCCCATTTTAGGAAAATCAATTCTTCAGAAAATATTTTTGCAGACAACATGGAAAAAGTTAGGAAGTTCTGTTTGTCTGATAAAACCATCTTAACAGTGATTTAGGGTACTGAATTATATTCAAAATAAATAAGGTCCGGAAAACTGCTATGAATTTTTGAATAAAGGTGAAAAAAGGTGTTACATTTCAGGCATATATTCAAATTAAAAAGTAAAATGAATTTTTGCGGACAAGTTTTTCGGACAAGTAAATGATACCTTTGCGAATTGTATATTTTTTACATTATCTATAGTGCTTCTTATTTTGTAAGAAATCAAATATATATATACTTGTATTATTGTAAGGCTGATAGGAGGATGCTCCTCGACCCCTATTATGCCAATGACGGGGAAACTAAATGGGGTTACCCCTTAACTGGGCGCCCGAAAAAAAAAAAAAAAAAAAAGTAAAATGAAAGTGCAACATCAAACACATGGCAATGCTGGACAGGTACCTAACTTTGTCCTGTCAAAGTTTTGTACCCCTCCGTAGACTGATTTTTATTTTATTTGTTAAAAAAGTGCGATTTCTGGCTGGAAACTGCTAGGAAACCAGTACATTATAAAAAAAATACCTGCTTTCATGTGATTTACAGAAACGTCAAAGATCACTTTTATAACCAAAAGACCGTACAAATTTACCAAACAGATTCTTGAAGCACAACTTTCAAGGTTTATAGCTGACAGAGTTTGTTCTTCAATAGCTGTTGACGTAACCATATACATCCATAGTGTACGCTATGACAGGTTTGTAATAAACGAGCAGATATATAACTTGTTTTCATAAGGACCAGATATTCGAATAAAATTACCTGTATTAGATAAATATTGTACAAAAATAAACCGTAAACATATATAATAAGGCATTGTACCTTACTCTAAGTCATTTGAATTGATTGTTTTATCGAGACATTTCCTTTTTTTACAAGTGAATGATGCATTTTCATGAGTTTGTTCTGGTTTGTATTGGGATATGATTTTGAAATGTCTTACAAGACATTGTATTATTTTGAATTATCTGCAGTATGCAGACTTCATAACCTCAGATTCCCTTTCAAAATTCCATTTTATTTAGTTCCGCCCATTGTTATATAGTTTAGGGCACACACATTCTTTTACTTGGGGACCATACGCTGCTTTTAATGGAATGGCACAACTGTGTCACATTGAAGGTTCCATGATAACTGCCGTATGAGCACATCTGCGGATGTTTCTAAATTCAAAATGTTCACCATTTTCGTGTTTAAATGTTGAATTCTGCTTAAGCCGGTGCTAGGGTCCATGGACGGTTACCTGCACTTTCCAGTACCGTCCATGAACAGGCTCAATCAAACCGAGCCTGCAATTCACATTTTCAATTTTGCCGTTTTGGGCTTTCTTTAGGGATTCTGTTTTACTCTATTTTGTCCGCACACATTTTCTCTAAATTCGTTTTTGAATTATTTCAGTAATTTACTAAGAGTTGTGTTTACCAGCCACTGCAATATGCACAATTCGTCACTACTTTCTATAGCCAACAAGTATATCGAAGTATCCGACCTCAAGTTAAATCAAGCTCTGATGTTCCTGTCTTCATATGAGGAGAGACAATATTTTATAGATCCTGTTCTACGTGATGACTTTAGTAGTGCTCAAAATCTGGTAATGCCTCTTTCATTATATAGATGTCAGTATGAGTTTTGTTTATCCATGCAACTCTGAAAAATGACATTGTCTATCTCGTGGAATATAAAACTATCTAAGTAGCATGCCGATGTTATTGTAAATCAATCATTAAAAGTTAAGTATGTATGCATAGCGTCAGATTTATGCCATAATTATAAACATTTGAACAGAATGAAAGAATGAATAACTGTCAAGTGTAATTATTTTGCTGTTGTAATTTTTTATCCATTATAATAAGCTTAACGTCTCGTTCTATTTTCAGGGTAATTTTCAGCTACTTTTACGTCTAAAACGATTCGAGAATTCTAACAACATATACTTCACAAATGACTTCAGAGGATTAACTAAGCACAATTGTCCAGTAGGTGGCTGTACGCCGTCCTTTCATTTTACATACCAAGGGTAAGTAATACATGATTATAAAATGTTAGAATTGTAAGTAACTAGTACTAAATAAAGTATACCTATATAAGTCTTGAACAATCTTATAAAGACGAAATGCAGTTTTAAATGCTATACGCTTTACAAAATTTTAAGATAAAATGCTATAAGAAATGTAAAGAGCTGTTAAAACTACAAAGTATCTGATTCCAAGAAAATACTTATTTGTAATAAATTATGAGAAATTAATATTTAGGATATCTGAACCAAATGAACAAAGTTTTGAACTCTACCATGTTTCTTCTTGTTGCATCAGTATTTTTTAGTCAAAGATGGTGCAAATAGATTCCGAAATTTCAATAAAATGAATTACACTAGCAAGAATATGTTTTAAAAATGGCAAATTACTATTGCTTATTGCTTATTCTCCCTGCATGTCAAATTTGTCATATTTTTATTGAACTACGCAATTAGGGATTTTGTTTAGTTAAATACATTACAATATTAACTTGTGTCTGTCAAGTATGGTGGTACATGTGTAAATTGCTGTGTTATTCATAATTCTCTTTATAAATTTGGTGGTGATGATCACGGCAGTAAGCCACTCTGAATTTACAAGAGCATTGTTCACGCATCATTCAAGCAGTTTATTAGAACCAATAACCTTTACTTTCGCAAGGGACTGTTTACTTCTGTACATAACAATGACACCGTATAACCGTAAAAAGGATTTCATGATCATTCTAAATGAAAGTGACCTGCACCGTTCGTGAATCGAATCAGGTCGCTAGATGCACAGTTATTCGGACGGTTATTACGCCAGTGAATTGTTTCAATTTTCAAGTCAACCTGTGGCTTTCTAAATGGGAGAATATAGCATTAGATCAAAAATGGGGAAAACGTAAAATCAAATTATAACAGCTATGAATGGAATTTACCCACACATTTTATAGAATTTTTTATTTCAATTCAATCCTACATGAATGGTACATAGCAAATGGTATCTATAGGGACACCTTTCTAACTTAAAGTCAATTTAGTAACTAGCTGATATGTCAGCTGCTGTATAGGCATGATTCTGTTGAAATGTGCACAGGGTATTTCAGGGAAATATATCATTTTTAGGGGAAAACATCCCTATTATTTTAGGCGAGGGAAAACAACCTTTATTTGAAGTAACATACAGGGGAAAGACTAAATGTTTAATTGATCAAATTTTCGCATGAATATAGGTAATGGTATAGGTGTGTTCGATATTGTCATTTTCCATAAATTTTATTTACAATAAAGGAGGACAGTATACAAGATTTTCTTTACTTTCAACTTTAAAACACTTTTTAAAGCAAATTGTGAAAATACTCTGATTTCATGCTTCACTTTCATTACAAATTTGCAGCGTTGAGCACATACTTCGTAAATATTCTCCGGCTACCAATCTAATGGATTGCTTTGGGAACCTTGTTGACGAATCGAATCCAACAGAAAAGACAAATAACACCTTGTTTTGGCATAGCAGTAAAACATGGGTAATTGTTTCTTATTATTCATAAAATCGTATGCTGATGTTTTAAATCATATGTATTTCACCCCTATTTAAGGACAATCTTTCCCTACTTCCATCGATAACTATGAGATTCGCCTTAATAAAGCTGTCTATCATCAATCGTGTTGGCCTATTATTGGTCAAAAAGTAAATCTATTTACCCATTTTATCAATACAGCACAATTTTTGTAAATGCATAAATATTTGCAATGTCATATGGCTTTATTTTGCTAAGTTAAATTAATTTTTTGTGTATACTCACGAGTGCCAGCATTGGAAATTTAAAATTAAAGACTCCAAAAAGAAGTAAAAACAATGTATTTATTTAAAAATTAAAGCACATTTAATTTCATACCAGCATTTCATGTTGAGACAGTTACCTAAGTAAATAGCATTTATTCTTGAATAGGCAATATGGATTATGTTTTTAGCACATACCATATAAAATTAAAGAAAATAAAAATAACGGTTGTGTCAATTAATAACTAAAGTAAGTCATCTTATTCACTTGTTATGAAGGGGGCATATAGATTTGCTCTTTTCCACTCTTCTCAATGTTCTACTGTCGCGCTGTCACCTGTCAGTCAAAGAACTGACACAACAGTGGATTGTGGGGCGTCCGTGTTGTATGATCCGCACACTGGTCTTTTAAGATATTAACTCCTAAATCACACATACATTATTCACTCGATCTGCGGATGTTTTCACCATTGCCATGGTTAAATGTTGAGTTCTGCTTAAGCCGAAAATAAGGGGGCGTGGACAGTAATTTGCACTTTCCAATACTGTCCATGAACAGCCTCAATCAAACCGAGCCTGTAACATTTTCAATCTTGTCGTTAGGAATTCTTTATTTCTCTCTATTTCAACTTCAACTTGTATTATCATTCGCGATCACAGAACTACAAAGTGCCCTTGCGTTGATTCATGCGGTGCACCTTTACGTGATTTTCTATTGTAGCTTTATTGAGTTGATTGAGAATGATCGTGCTTATACACAAATTGCCTCTATAGAATTATCTATAAATAATATTTTTTTTTTGTAATTTATTTATATTTTGTTGCTTTATTTTCATTTGTTTCTATCTAATTCTATTTTATACTGTAGTAATCAGTATATCGAAAATTCCTGGCGAACATGAAATTATTGAATTTTAATAATACGATATGTACATATTTATGATTTTGCTATAAACATTGAAATAATGTTTTATTTGCAATTAAGTTATTTGTATTATATTGTATATTTGTAACTGATAATGCACAAAAGAGTCTAGTAAAACTTTATTTTTCACTTAAGAATACACATGACTCAATCAAGTTGGAAATCTATCAAAACGACAACAACAAGGAACCTATTGTGATCATGGATATCAAATTAGACAATGTTGACGTTGTTAGTTCAAATTACCTTCTAGCAAGACCTATATTGATAAACAAGACGATCGATTTCACAAATGTCAGGTAAGTTTTCTTTAGTTGTATGTTGTACGCTTGCATTAGAGCATTACTGACTCTATAATTTTAATTAGGTAGAAAAGTTGATCAAAAGTAGAATTTATTCTGTACATGCTCATATAAAGGATAATTCGGAGTATACATGTATAATTTATCAGAGGATTATTAGAGAAATGAATGACTTACCACTGTTTAAACAACTGGAATCATATTTGAAACATGTTCACGTGGTGTAAGAACGTTTACTCTATTACAAGTAGGCATGTAGGCATTTGATAACTGTTTTGATTTGTGGATATAATAATTGTCTGGTGACATACACACAAATGAAACCAGATAAGAATGTCAAGTTGTTGCGAGATGAATTATTTTGCTTACGACAGTTCTAGATGCTACTAAATTCTTGATCTGATTTTTTGAGCAGCCCATTTTTGACTTGTTATCATTTGATATATTTTTCTTTCGTTTTAAGATAAAAATAAAGTAACAAAATTATTAAGTTTTCCAAGACATCAAAAAACGTCTATGTACAGAAATTCTAAGCGTTCAATCGGTAGTCCGTAGCCAAGTGGTTAAAGTCGTTCAAACCACTTGCCTCGCCGCGCCAGCGGATTCTTCGTGTGACAAAGCTATCCAGCTAGCTTACGGAACGTCGGTGGTTCTACTCAGGTGCCGTTTTGTCAGAAATTATGTACAGAGGGTCACCTGAGATCTTCCTCCACCAGTAAAGCTGGAAAGTCGCTATATGACCTATACTGTGTTGGTGCGACGTTAAAACCATCATCCAAAAAGGAAATATAATCTTTTTAAATATCGACTTCAGTGTTCGGACAGTAACGTAATTTAGTGGCAAGTGAAGTGCGTTAAATGCTTTATATATCTTCTCCTTTTTTTGCTTCTAAAATATAGGATGCGATGGCACTAATGACTTTAATTGTAAAGAATACCAATTTTTAGATATGCTGAATTATATATTTCATTTAAGTGTTGATATTGAAATAATGGTCTGGTGTTCTACTGGATTCTATGGTAAAGCTTGCAACGAGACATGTCCTACTGACAACATCAATTGCAACATTGGACAATGTATCGGTATGTATCTTACTGATTTATGAGGCAAACATTACATTGTAAAGACACTCTTTCATAATTATGGTGATATATTCAGTTGACATAATAATAATCATCTTACAGACGTTGTACATACTTGAAATAAAAAAAGTAATCGTATGTGCTACAATATTGAAAATCCGTGTTTTTTATGTAAGCGATTAATTGGTATTGATTTGACTAAATGTTAAATGAATTAATTGCATTATTCAAATTAATAATACTAAATTCTTTAATTTTTTGAATGATTGTTGATACTGATGAGAGAACATCTGCATATAAACAATGCGGCTTTCAAATTGATTTTAATTGAGCACGAGACATTTTGAGAGTTAGGTAACCAGGTAGCAGAGGAAGGCAATTCCTCTACTCACACAGAAAAGTCTTGGTAGTGTAGGGATCCTCCCTTGTCGGCCGGTACATTTATGTCTAGAATATAATCTCAATAATTCTGCCTTAATCTTATTTTTCCATTGCTTGGCAACGTTATAATCGATAAGTAAATCTATGATATGCTATAAGTTTGTAATCTTTACAGACTTACATACCATCAACCAAGATGCCTCGTCATTACAAATAGACTATCACTGTAGGAAAGGAACATGTAATAACGGTGTATGCCAGTGTCCAGATGGATTTGCAGGCGAAAGATGTAACATAGTATCAAATTATATACTTCCTTTCAACAAAACTTATCATTTTCTGGATGACATAACAAATAATACAACCTGTGAAGATGGATACAAGAACTTCAATTGCGACGAGAGAGATTTTTGTTACAATAATTTATGCAAACATGGCCGTTGTTCAAATGATGTGAACATATATTCGTGTGTATGTGATGACGGTTTTGAAGGATTAAATTGTGACAGGAACATTGATTATTGCAACACTGTCCCGTGTCAGAACAACGCTACCTGTCTTGATGAACAAACTAACTATACATGTATATGTCGACCAGGATATACTGGACTAAATTGTGAGATAGATATCAATTTTTGTACAAATAATACATGCCAGAACAATGCAACCTGCCTTGAGGAACAAACACACTATACATGTATATGTCGACCAGGATATATTGGACTAAACTGTGAGATAGATATCAATTTTTGTACAAATAATACATGTCAGAATAATGCAACCTGCATTGAGGAACAAACAAACTATACATGTATCTGCCAACTGGGATATTCTGGACTAAATTGTGAGGTAGATATCAATTATTGTACAAATAATACATGTCAGAACAACGCCACCTGCATTGAGGAACAAACAAACTATACATGCATCTGTCAACCGGGATATACTGGACTAAATTGTGAGGTTGATCTCAATTATTGTACAAATAATACGTGCCTAAACAATGCAATATGCATTGAGGAACAAACACACTATACATGTTTCTGTCAACCGGGATATTCCGGACTAAATTGTGAGGTTGATCTCAATTATTGTACTAATAATACATGCCTGAACAATGGAACGTGCATTGAGGAACAAACAATCTATACATGTATATGTCAACCGGGATATACTGGACTAAATTGTGAGATAGATATCAATTATTGTACTAATAATACATGCCAGAACAATGCAACCTGCATTGAAGAACAAACAAGCTATACATGCATTTGTCAACCAGGATATTCTGGACTAAATTGTGAGATAGATATCAATTATTGTGCAGATAATACATGTCAGAATAATGCAACCTGCATTGAGGAACAAACTAGCTATACCTGTATCTGTCAACCGGGATATACTGGACTAAATTGTGAGATAGATATCAATTTTTGTACAAATTATACATGTCAGAATAATGCAATATGCATTGAGGAACAAACACACTATACATGTATCTGTCAACCGGGATATACTGGACTAAATTGTGAGATAGATTTCAATTATTGTACTAATAATACATGCCAGAACAATGCAACCTGCATTGAAGAACAAACAAGCTATACATGCATTTGTCAACCAGGATATTCTGGACTAAATTGTGAGATAGATATCAATTTTTGTACAAATAATACATGTCAGAATAATGCAACCTGCAATGAGGAACAAACAAATTATACATGTATCTGTCAACCGGGATATACTGGACTAAATTGTGAGATAGATATAAATTATTGTACATATAATACATGTCTGAACAACGCCACCTGCATTGAGGAACAAACAAGCTATACATGTATCTGTCAACCGGGATATACTGGACTAAATTGTGAGATAGATATCAATTATTGTACATATAATACATGTCAGAATAATGCAACCTGCATTGAAGAACAAACCAGCTATACATGTATCTGTCAACCGGGATATACTGGACCGAATTGTGAAAATTACACCGAGATTTGTTCTGAGGAATCATGCAAAAACAATGGCACATGCGAAGTTATTGATGGAGCTTTTATTTGTCAATGTCCTTTTGGCTTTACAGGCAAACTGTGTGAATCTGTATCAAATTCATCTTTACAAACGAGTACGTATAAGATTATTTATTTATTTCAAAAGCATCCGATCATTTTATGACTATAACATAGGTACATTGTAAGAATAAGAATGATATCCCTTTGTCTTTTTAAAAATGTCTAAAACTTTTACATGGACTTTCATCACAAATCCGAAGGGATCACTTTGTTTCCAGATTTTAATACAAAAAGGTCTTAATACAGGTCGTCAAAAATGGATTGTGAAAGTAATACTATAGCAATTCCTCATGTCAAATATCAGTTACAAAGCAACTTATTTTAAACTTAAGTATAGGGTATATTAGTATGGTCTGTTGATCTTTACGGTTGCTGGAGATATTCTGATGCATAGATGCTATACAAGTAAGATGTGAAGTGATGGTTTGTTAGCGGGTAAGGTCGCTGAAATCAGATCACATTTACTATTTTTTCTTTCTGTTTTTTTTTACATGATTGAAAACTACAAATGATGTTTGGATAGGCACTTCATATGCAAAATGTTGGCATTTTTCGTTTCTTTCTTTCTTTGTATGATGTTACTTGAAACACATGAGCAATTACTATGATATATGTAGGGTGTTTTTGCATTTCTGTTCTACAATTTGATAAAATGTGCCGCGTCACGACAAAACCAACGTAATGCGTTTGCGATTAGCATGGATCCAGACCAGCCTGCGCATCCGCGCAGTCTGATCAGGATCCATGCTGTTCGCTTGCAAACCCTATAACAAGTAGAGAAACTGATAGCGAACAGCATGGATCCTGATCAGACTGCGCGGATGCGCAGGCTGGTCTGGATCCATGCTGGTCGCAAACGCATTACGTTGGTTTTGTCGTGACGCGGCTCAAATGTGTATTGTTTAAAGGAGACGCTATAGATGCAGGCTGCACAGGATCTGGTTGGAATATAACTGTTAATATAACTTTACTGAAACAACTGGATCCGGTGATAGTTCTAAATAATATACATTTTGGGGATAATGCGTGTGGTGGCAAAGAAGTCGGGAACTTGTTGTTGTTCCAGCAAGGATTTCAAGAGTGCCTTACAAATAAACAGGTATGCTCTGTCAACCATTGACCTTCTGGTGCTAAATGTGAAAGACATTTGCTTGAAGCATAGAGCCAGGACAGTCTGCACATCCGTACAGTTTGGCCAGGCTCTATTCTGTTGGCCAATAAAATTTTGTACTTGATATAAGACTCCCTTTAATCCCTATTTAGACTTTTTGAATTCAGTACACGGCAAATCTATAATGTTAAGAACCAAATAAATCACAAACTTATATTTACAGCCTTAGAAATTGGTCACTTGTTTAACTCTCTCGTGTTCTTACAAAGTAATATTTATCATATTTCATTTTTGCTTCTTTAATTGCAAGAAATACTTGTAAATCATGTACTTTGTTTTATTTCTCAAGACCACGTACGAGTTTCTTTATTTCATAATTAAATTGTAGAAACACAGAAGTAAATTCCAAAGGAGAGTACTATTATTATAATAAAATATGATACTTTGCTCTGGATTATTCATCGGTCAGAAACCGGAAAATATATTTTGTAACTTTCTTATAGTTTCACTTTGTTTTTAATCTACTATTATATAATTTTCCAAATTTAGCAATTTATGTTACACTAATGCTTAATGCAATATACAAAACAAATTTATGAAATACATCAAGATTTATACAATGATAAAGATAATAAAAAATACTTCAATATTTTCACATATTGTTTTGTTTTGTGAAGCGTAATATGAATTCTACTCGCTGTCAAGATTATAGATATTAATTTTCTATTTCTTTTTAAACAATGATCAGATTTACTCACCATTAAAGGTGTAGAATTGGTGTTAAAATACCAGAGGACTAACATTACTTATTACTAAGATTGTATCACTGAATACAATATACATATAAATCATCTTTCTATTTAGGGAGATTGAGAAAAAGAAACTTAATTCGATACATTATACATGTAGTTTTAATAGAACTTGTATTGTATTTTATGTTTCTAATAAAATGTAAAAGTGTGGTACGATTAAAAAGACAGAACTATTTTGATAGGGAAATTGTTGCAGATAATTATCATAAATATTGTTGTTTTTTTGTGATTCGCAGATATCTGGTAATATGCTACTCTACATAAATGATCTATTCTACGTGGTTTATGACCCCATCAACCCGTATATAATCCGACGACACGAATGGACGTTCACAATTCAGTGTGACGTCGATAGGAATGAGGCAGCGTCATCGCACGTTCATCATGACGCCAACACACAACATATAGAAGTTTCTGGTCAATATCGGATAGATTTGTCTTTTTACAAAGACGTTAATTTCATGCACGAGTTACCAGGAAATCCGCTACATATTAATCTGGGGGATGACATTTATGTTAAAGTGTACACTACGGCAAACGATTGGACAACAAAAATGAGGCTACATACGTGTTACACGACGCCAAATGACGCTGCGGGAATGAATATGACCTATTTCATCATCAAAAATGGGTAAGCTTTTTGAAATTTTTACATGCAATATATAGATACCCAAATTGCATACCATCACTGGTTCTTTCTTTTTTCTTTTTATTTATTGGTGATGATACTTTTTTATTATTATGTTTTACATTTTTTTAAGAAAAGCAACTATGAGTTAGTAAGTAATTATTATAAGAGTTCCTGGCGAATATATAAAAAGGACTGATGATGAAGACCAATACTACGTCATTTTTCTTTTTAATAATACTGTAGGTCATTTGCATTATTGCATTATTGTTCATTTATTCATATTTTTTTCGGAACTTCTATTGTCAATGATTGGGATACTTAGATGAAAATTTATTGTCAGTCGGCAAACAGTATAGATAAATCTTTATCGGGGTGTATGGAAGATGCAGGCCGGTCTGGCTTTGGCTCTATACTTGGTGACAAAGGCTAATATCTTTTGGTTCAAAATAGGTAAGGGATTGTTTGTTGTTGATTTGTTATCGTATTATATTTCAGGTGTGAGGTTGACAGCAATACTCACATTATATCACAGTCCACACACGAGACCAAATTTGTATTCCAAGATTTTGAATATTCCACCAATCGGGAAGGCTTAGATATTCACTGCAACGCTTCTTTTTGTGATACAAAAGACTACTCGCCCGGATGTGCCCAGTCCTGTGTATTACCTTGAACTATTTATTGATTGATTCTATTTAATCACAATTTGATTAGATTCTATTATAAATAATATATGAATGACTTGAAAATTTTAATTTGACAGAAAAAAAATGAAGAATGAAATAATATGGCTGTATTTGTAAAATATGACGTGTAATACTGTTACATTAGATTCCTTACTTTAAATGATTATCACCTTTAACAAAAATGAGTATGAATAAATCAACTGTAATTCTTTTGTTTGTAACTTTGTCAGCTGAAACGTTTCAATATGTTTTCTTAGAGGTCAAAAAGCTTAAAAAGTATAGTGAAATTTGAATTTCTTACACACATCATCTGAGCATATCAAACAGAAATATTTACATTGTACAAGGGATAATCAAGAATTAAACTCAGAAAAAATGTAAATTGAATTTTTGTGCTATTTTTGACCCAATGGTAGTGAAAAGTTTTGCAACGCTTTTTAGTTTTATGTCATTTTTCACAATCACAATAACTATTCTGCAAAATGGGCGAATGATTTGAAACTGTGCACACAAGTTATTTGTCTAGACCTACATTAAATGAAACATCAATCTCTAAAAATTATGAATAAAGTCCCGTCATGTCAAAAGAAAAATCATAGTGTAGTCCCTGATTAATTAACAAAAATTAATACTGTATCTTTTTTCTGTTTTCAATAAAACCTACGCTCTGGAGTGCAATACTTTTAGCACCACAGCAACACATATGAACATAACTTCAAGTTAAAGTATGTTGATCTTATAACATTCGTGTCCATTTGATTTGATAGTTTTAAAAAGAGCCATCACCAAGCGGGGCAACGCTCGACTTTTTCCTGTTTCTTATGTCAAACATATCAAATGAAGAATAACATAGTAAAAAGTACTCCAACAAAACATTTTCTTTATTTTTTTTATTTTTTTTTTTTTGTAATAGATAAAATTCAAATGTTACGTTTATTCTTGATGGTCAATGGCATTCAATGTCACTTTTAAAATAATCATCATGTCAAGTGCCATAAACGAATTACAACAATTTAATGTAAGTAATTTTATCAATTCTATCAATTATTAGGGAAAAGGTAAACCAATTTGACTGTTATCAAATTTCAGGAAGAATTGTAATATAAACAATTACAGAAATGTTGATGTTTTAACATAATGTTTTACCATTGACATGCTTCATGTTATAGGGTGGCTCCTGGTGCATTGTAGGTCAATATTTTGAAATAGAATAGTAGTCACCCGATTTAAGAACGTGCAAGCTAGGTTTTTAAATTCTAGTCGATCCGAAGAAAAAAACATTACAAAATTAATGAAATGGATGTTTTTTCCACAAAGACAAGTTAAAATTCATGTTTCTACAATATTCTAGAGAATAATGCAAGAACGTTAAATGCCAGTCATTCTTTCAATGGCTTATGATATATTTTCGGGTACACATTTTGTAATACACGTGTCTACATTTTCCAGAAATACATCGATGTTTAATACTATCATTTTCACGGAACTTTCACTTCGTACTTATTACGCTACCCGAGTACATTATCGTTTAGGCACTGAAAAGCAGTGGAACATACGCTGGTGAGTACACCAGAGGGTCTATCAATGATGCTGCATAAACGGGACATTTTAAACAGACAGGAGAAGGGGTTAGACCAGTGCAATGCAGGTTTAGCAACTTTGTACGCGTCCAATAGAATAAGTATGGTTCTAAACAATGTGTAATGAACTCTTTATTTCAAACTACCAATTTGAAATTAGAAAACCAGATTGAATTAAAGAAAACGCGCAAATTTTTTAATCAAAAGTGTATTAAATTAATGATATTGTTATATAGATTTGATATGGACCATTTAGGTTACAATGGCTAATTAGTCTCTGGAGATTAAAACGAGGTTAGGAAATGTACGTAGAACGAGAACAATATGCATTTGATATGTATTTTGACTCGGGGGGGGGGGGATTAAAACCGAGGCTAAAAGTGATAAGATTGGATCCAATGATAATTTATAAAGGAATATTACATATTGAAAATGCCGGATGTTCATTATATAAGATTTAAAACAAATAACTTTATTGATTGTTAGAGCAACACACTGACCGAATATTTCTTTCCTTAATTTCCTGTATAATGGTTCTGAAACTTCTTTATTTACTTAGTCACTATGTGATTGGTTGCCTCCATTTTTTTTGTATACTTAATTTTTATCAACATGTATTGAGATTATATTCACGTGTTATATAATTTTTATATTCCCTTAACAGGAAGAAAAAAGTTGGAATGAAAGTGAAAACCATCCCTTTACTATTATTGTTGTTCATGTTGTTGTTGTTTTTTGTGCGTTTTTATATTTTAACAAATAAGAATTCAGGAACAATCGCGATTGTTGTCGTTTAGATAAGTCATTTGTTAGTAACTATCATCTTTCAAAAAAAGGGAAATAGAAATAAAATGTCCGGGTAATAAACCTATCGGATGTTATTAATATTAGAAGTTTTAAATTCCATCTAAATTTATATCGGAGGTGTTTAATAGCTAAAGTATACAAATATAGTCGTATGTATACAATTTTGCTATTATTTCCGATTAAACGTTTCAACAGATCAAGATGCCTCCAGATTCGGGCTATTTTTTGTAAAAGATTTTGAAAATTATTGTCATTAAGCAAAAATACATGAATCGTTATTGCACGCATAAGGGTTAGAACTGACGCGTTGATAAAGCATAAAAATATAAGTAAGGCGTCAACATTTGAAATAACTCTAATCGTAACTCAGAAATTTGGTTATAAATAAAAAGAGAAGAAAGAATTGCTGTTGTATTTGCATACGATACAGAAAGTGTGATGAAGGTTGAGCATTTCAATGGATTTTTTAAACAATATACAATGTACTATTAAATTTGTCAAGTTTCACTTTTCAAAATACATGCTGACAAAGGAGTGTCATAACAAGAAATAAACTTCCTTCATTATTGTTTAAATTTTTATTTTGTCAATGATTTTAATAAATACATACCGAAAAGATTAACTTTTGATACGATTATTTTGTTTCAGACCATTTGATGGTCTTCAAGTACATGGAACATATTTGTACATAGTAACCACCCTTTTGTTAACATAGATAAATAACACCATGGAGGAAAGGGTGGCCAATCTTCTGGAGAAACAACACGAAATTTCCATGCATCTTCTACCAGTTATAATATGTATGGTGATATTAGGTATATCCGGATTAATCGGTAACTGTCTCACGGTAGTGTTCTATATTAGGAAACAAAAGACTACTGCATCAGTAACGTTAATAGTAAGCCTGGCAGTGGTCGACCTTGCAGTATGCGTGCTGATTGTCCCATGTGTTTTGGAAATGCTTTCAAGTCTGACATATTACCAGGGATTTATGTGCAAACTATCACATTTCAGCACAAGGTGGACTATTTCCAGCTCGTGTGCAATTATATGGATAATTTCAATCGACAGATATCGGAAAATATGTAAACCGTTTGATAAACAGATAACTCCTGCAATGGTTAAGCGAGCAATGTGTGCAACAGCTATTATCACATTTCTACTTTCAGTGAAAAACTTTTTTACTTTTGATAGTGTCTCCATAGATTTACACGATTTTAGCAATAACAGAACGCTTACGGGACGGTATTGTACGACCCATAAAGATGAAAAGTACAGAAGCATAACTTTAGCTTTCTATGGCATAGACGTTTGTTTAATATTGATGGCTTTTCTAACAATGGCGTTCACTTATTCAAACATTATTTACACGCTAGTAAAACTTCGTCAAAAGAGGAAACGCACTTTTCAAAATTTGATTATATTTGAGGAAATTTTGAAAAACAAATTACCGAAACGCTTTACTCGTGTTTCTTCGGATATTTCTGGAATGACACGTAATACAACCGAGGTTTCGCTGATAAATTATGCAACTGGCCAAGACATTGACAAGAAAAGGCTCTCCAATATAACAGATAAATGTAGGACCGATATCAATAACGATACCAGCAAACCGAACATCGCAATTCAAGAGGAAGATTTAGAAACAAATCAGACTGTAAAGATATCTTGTGTGAAGAAATCTAAGGAACACAATCTAACTGTTATGATGCTAGTTGTGTCCATACTTTACATTCTGTGTTTCTCACCTTACTTTGCAATCAGGATAACTTTACGACTTGGTACCGGAAGTGACGAATTTGAGATGAACGCTGGCGTTCAGACTGCATTACGGCTCGTTTACATAAACAGCGTATTCAATCCCATCATTTACTTTATCTTCAATCCTAAATTCCGACGATTCGTCAAAAACAAATTTAAGTGTTAATTTATTGAAGTTAATGAATAGCGAGTGTTGTACTTTGGTGTTATTTTGTATTGGTTAAACCAGTTTATCTAGTCATATAAAATCTACTACTAGTAATTCAGGTATTTCGTGAAATGACAAGCTTTTTTTAAGAAACGAGTTCTGCTTTGTTAAATTTTCTTGTCAGACTGTAACTAAAAGGAAAATTAAGCTGTGATTTTTTAAATACAATCTATGTTCCTTTAAAAAATTATTAGAAATAATTCAAATTTAACAGAAAAATACTAGAACTATGTTATTGTTTTTTTTATCTTTTTACTCTTTTTTTATTGATATAAGCGCGTATCTTACACTTCAATTTTACTATAATAATAGGTATGTTATAGGTAATAACAGTATGTATTATATACATATATACAGTATCTTGTATATTTCATGTGGTCCATGAATTTGCAAAACAAAATAAATAGCAAAAACAAATTTTTGTGAAACACTTATGCTCCCACCCCGGCATTATACATTATGGGCAGTGTACATATGTAACATGGAAATGAAATTAATACTTTGGACTTAAAATCAATAGGAATTATCTATCGGTATATGTGAAATGCATCAACCTATCAAGAATGACGTGTCTAAGCTAAAATGTTGTTTTTAAATTATATGCTGTACAAACCTAGGTTGACATATAGACCATTAGACAGGTTTGAATGTACTTCTAAATTCTAAATTAATATTATCAGTAACTATTTTTTATTGTACATTTTATTTCATTAAATCAGATGACCTCTGTAGTTGCAGAGTGACATAGTAGTGGTCGGAGCAATGTGTTGGATGTTCATAGCAGGCATGGTATGTGTTTAGCAAGTCAAATAATATACTACTCAAAATTTGCTAAGGATCACCTTTTAGTACGGTGTCCTTATCGTGCCATTTAGAATGTCGTCCGTCGCGTCTAAGGGTAGACACACGACAATGCGAAGTGACATCGCGACAATGCGAAGCGACGCTCGACAACGCGAAGCGATATGCGACAATGCGAAGCGACGCTCGACAGTGTCAAACGATATGTCGCACTGTCGCCTAGAAATGTCGCGGTAAAAAGGGCGACATTTAAGAAATGTCGCTTCGCGTTGTCGAGTGTCGCTTCGCATTGTCGAGCGTCGCTTTGCGTTGTCGCGATGTCACTTCGCGTTGTCGCGATGTCACTTCGCGTTGTCGCATTGTCACTTCGCATTGTCGAGTGTCGAGGTTGGTAGAAGTGCATACCACGACACTCGACAATGCGAAACGACAACGCGACAATGCGATACGACGCTCGACAATGCGATAGTGACACTCGACATCGCGAAGCGACATTTTTAAAATGTCGAGTAAATGTCGCGTTATTTTTATGATTTTTACACCGCGACGCTCAACATTGCAAAGCGACACTCGACAATGCGAAGCGACACTCGACAACGCGAAGCGATACTCGACAACGCGAAGCGACACTCGACAATGCGAAGCGACATTTGGAATAATATCGTATCGCATTGTCGTGCGTCTACCGGTGCTTGGTCAGAATTTACTAACTCACCGACAAACGGTGCGATCATGGAAGGGGTCGCACTTAACTGCTGACGAATTAGCTGACGATATAGATATATAGGAAACTGCTGACCAGTTAAATAAAGAAGGATTATCGGAAAATGCTGACCAGTTACACAAAGAAGGGAAACATTGAAGGTGTGAAGTTATATAAAACACGCCGTAGGGGTAATAAAAAGATGGGAAATTACTTTTATTCTTTTAATTATATTTTTAATTTTTGCATTTATATGACTATGTTTATAAACTAAATTAATATATACATTTAAAGTACCATAATATCATACATTTTAACACGGATTTACATTACTACATGTAATATAAATCCGTGATTTTAAAAGGATATATTAAACAGCTTTTTATACCTCTAAAGATATGCAAAAATTTGAATTAATGTTTTATAAAGAATTATGATGTTATGAGTTTTTATCAAAATCTCTTGTTAGTGATATTTCAATAGAAAAATCTTGTAACGGAAAAAAAATGTATTTTCAAAAGCAATAATTGCAATTTGAATTAATATTAAATAAGTCAGCAGTGTTTTAACTTAATTAAATGTCGACAAAATTTTATACAATATATTGAATTTCGTACATTATAAAATGAATTAAAATTTCACGACAAAATATATTTTTTTCTATATTTCTAACTGGTCAGCAGTTTCCCTATATATCTAACTGGTCAGCAGATTCTACTACATGTGTATATGTTTAACTGGTCAGCATTTTCTCGCCTGAATGTAAAGAGCGTTAAAATTTGCTAACCATATAGAATAAGAAGAGTTTTACGGCTTAAATCAATTTGAAATAACATTAAATTGGTCAGCAGTGTTTTTACTTAATTAAATGTCGACATAATTTTATAAAATAAATTGAATTTGCATACATAATAAAAATGAATTACAATTTCACGGCAAAATATATTTTTCTCTATATATCTAACTGGTCAGCAGTTTCCCTATATATCTAACTGGTCAGCAGATTCTACTATATATGTTTAACTGGTCAGCATTTTATCGCCTGAATGTAAAGAGCGTTAAATTTGCTGACCATATAGAATAAGAGAGTTTTACGGCTTAAATCAATTTTGAATTAACATTAAATTGGTCAGCAGTGTTTTTACTTAATTAAATGTCGACATAATTTTATAAAATATATTGAATTTGCATACATAATAAAAATGAATTAAAATTTCACGGCAAAATATATTTTTCTCTATATATCTAACTGGTCAGCAGTTTCCCTATATATCTAACTGGTCAGCAGATTCTACTGTATGTTTAACTGGTCAGCATTTTCTCGCCTGAATGTAAAGAGCGTTAAATTTGCTAACCATATAGAATAAGAAGAGTTTTACGGCTTAAATCAATTTGAAATAACATTAAATTGGTCAGCAGTGTTTTTACTTAATTAAATGTCGACATAATTTTATAAAATAAATTGAATTTGCATACATAATAAAAATGAATTACAATTTCACGGCAAAATATATTTTTCTCTATATATCTAACTGGTCAGCAGTTTCCCTATATATCTAACTACAACTACAACTACAAATATTTTATTGCATTAAAACAACATGTTCCATAGCAATACAATTTTTTATACAAAGACATGGTTTACAGAAGAGCACAATAATATAATATATATATGTATCTGCATTAAAGATGACTAGTTATTTCGCAAGTTTGCATAGTATATATATTTTGCTAAATTATTAATTATTGCTTTTGATTTTGCACATATGAGATTAACAAATTTCTGTTTAGTAGGCCACGTATAATAATATCTCTTTATATATTTTGATCTTAAGTCCTGGAATTTAGAACATATTAATACAAAATGATACTCATTTTCTATAAGACCGGCATTACAATTACTACACAATCTTTCATTTCTTGGTATATTTCTATGCCGTCCACGTTCAATAGCCAAACTATGAGAAGATGAACGAAATTTGGATAAAGCTACCCTAAATTTCGGTTCAACGATAAAATCCAAATAGTTTTCAAATTCGAATGAATGTTTAAATAAACAATATGTATCTAATCTAGACGAGTTATTAATTGAGGAATACCAACTTTGATAGAATATGTCTAAAATTCGTTGTTTAATAATACTAAAATCTATATGTATAGTAAACTGATTTTCCCACATATAAAACAAGCAAGTCTGCTCTAAAATAGTCTTAACAGTATATGCCCAGTTTTTACCACTATAAGTTACACCATTGTCGGCATCTGTTTTTAACATAATAAAAAATTTATACAATATAGTTCTTTCATTAAGTTTAAGAAGTTTTAACCAGTATTTGATCAATATTAGTTTTCTATGAATGGACATTGGTGTACGACCAAGTTCACCATATAACACATCTACATTGGTTGATTGTTTCACACATAACAATCTTCTACAAAACTTTGTATGTATAATTTCTATGTTCGGACCAGCATGATGCCCCCACACTTCTGCACCATAATTTAATGTTGGTAAAACAATACTATCAAATAAACTTATCATTTGGGAAACTGGAAGTTCCAACTGGTTACATACAATAAATAGATTTTGTAGTGAATATGACGCATGTTGCGCAATATATTTTTGAGTTCTGTTCCAGTTCCCATTTTTAAAAAAGATACACACCTAAATATTTAAAAGATTCTACAATTTCAATTCTAGTGTTATACAAAAAGAAATCATAAGATGTATGTCTACCATTTTCAAAAATCATTACTTTTGTTTTAGATACATTTAATTTCAGATTCCACATATTGCAATAATGTTCTATATCATTCAAGATAGATTGTAATGAATTTGGATCATGTGTGAAAACTACAGCGTCGTCTGCAAATAACAACAAAAATACCTGTATATCATCAATGTTAACAATACCAGGAATGTTCCTATTTATATTATTTAATATATCATTGAGAAAAAATAAACACAATATGCTACTTGCTGGATCTCCTTGTTTTACTCCAATCTTAGAATTAATTAGATGAGAATGCATGTTTTTATATTTAACAAAAGATTTAACAATACCATACATTGACTTGATTGCAGTAACAAATTTTGTACTTATATTTTCATTCAGTAACTTTTTCCATAATAAAACCCTATCAATACGGTCAAACATTTTCTCCCAATCTAGAAATGCTACATAGAGTTTCTTCTTACTCGACAAAGTCTTTGTTATTATAGCATGTAGAACAAAAATACAGTCAATAGTTGACTTATTCCTTTGAAAACCATATTGATTATCAATAAATTTTTCATGTTTATCAGCCCATTTAATAAGTCTATCAACTAATAATTTTGAGTATATTTTGGACAAAATATTATTTAAGGTAATTCCGCGAAAGTTTTTTGCTTCATGAGCTCCACCTTTAAAAATTGGTACTATAATACCTTCTCCCCAGCATTCAGGAAATACGCCATCATTAAATATTTTATTATAAAAGCGTGTGAGAAATGGACAAATTATATCAATTGAATTTTTAAATACTTCTGCAATCAGATGGTCAGTACCTGGGCATTTGGAATTGTTTTGCGAAAATATTGCATTTTTTATCTCCATCGATGTAAATTCAACATCTAAATCATTATCATATATGTAATCATTATGTACATCATTATTTTCATGATCATACAGTGGTGAAGAACCGTACAAACTATTAAAATGTATATACATATCATCAATACTTATGTTTCTATTTTCTATAGTAGGTTGCCTGTATTGTGTTCTCACATTTCTCCAAAAAGACTTTGGGTTACATTTTGCTAATTTTGACACTCGTTTCCCCTCTGTCTTTTTGAATAAACGTTTACATCTAAGTTTTATATTCTTATATACCTTTCTTTTATTTATGAAAA